CCGACAATTGAAATTTGAGATCAAAATAATGATGTACTTATTATATACTTAATAATTATTTAAACATTCCACGACTGTTTATGGCAACAGTCACAGGGCTTCCCAACAGTCGGTGGAGAACCACTGTTCAATCAAAGAGAATCATTGTTTTGTTGTTTTTTAATATTTGGAACATAAACAAATATAGATGTCACTGTGACTTAATGTTCATATACACGTAGTGTGTGTTTTACTTGGATGCTTCGATGCCCTTCGATGGTGGATGTTAGTCTTACTCTGCCTTCTGGAGCACTACAAGCTTCTGTACAGGACGTTGAAGGTACTTCGTCTCTGTCAGTCGTCTTCCCTTGTTGTCCAATTGGGAGGTAGCTAGGGCGAGGAGTGCCTTGCGCACTAAACCATCATCACTTGGAAGAACTTCGTAGACACGAGCAAGCTTCCAATCGCTTCTTGGTAGATTGTCGTCTTTAATAATAACAATGTCATTTACCTTGACGTTTCGCCTAGGTCGGTCCCATTTCTTTCGTACTTGCAGTGTTTGCATGTACTCTCCTCTCCACTTCTTCCAAAATTCATTGGCTAGATGTTGCACTCTCCTCCATCGCTTGCGACAGTACAAGTCAGTCCTTAAAAGGACACCTGGAGGGGGCATCAGTACCTTTGACTTCATTGTCAGTAGGTGATTTGGTGTCAAAGGCTCCAGGTCTTCTGAGCTTACTGTCGTCAAAGGCCTTGAGTTGACGATGGCTTGAACTTCCTTCATCAGAGTGCGGAAGCTTTCGTCGTCGAGCTGATGTCCAGCCTCTTGCATAAGCGGTCGTAGGACGTTTCTCACACTCCGGATTTGCCGCTCCCACACTCCTCCAGCGTGGCTTGCTGAAGGCGGATTCATCTTGAAGGTAATCCATTCACAATTTTCCTTGAGTAACTCATCGCGTACTTTCTCTTCATCTAGGGCTTCCCGTAATTCGTTACTGGCTCCGATAAAATTGGTACCACAGTCAGATCTTAATTGACGTACTGGGCCACGCTCTGCTAGGAAGCGCCTGAGTGCGTTTATGAATGAGTCGGTGGACAGCGACGCTGCGGTCTCTAGATGTATGGCACGGGAGGGCATGCAAGTAAACAAAACGCCATAGCGTTTCACCTCCTTTCTTCCCTCCTTTATACTAAATGGGCCGAAATAATCCACAGCACAATAGGTGAAGGGAGGTGCTGGTTCCAGCCGGTCATTTGGGAGGTCCGCCATCTTTYGTTGCTGCAAAGGAGCTCTTAGCCTTTTACATGTTATGCACCGTTCGATAGCCGACGCTGTTGCCGATAATCCTCGGGTTATCCAATATCCGCGCTGACGTACTTCGTTGTAAGTCATTCCTCGGCCTTGATGCTTGGTTGCTAGATGACAATTATTTATAACCAACTTGGATATGTGGGCCTTTCCGGGCAATATAACTGGATGCTTCAGTTCTTCCGACGTGCTAGCCCTTCGAAGGCGACCTCCGACACGCAGGACACCTTTGTCGTCGATGAAGGGATCTAGACGATAAA